CGGTTTATCATTCTCTTGCTGTTGGTTTGTATAAAGATGAAATCCGTATTATAGACATGGACGGAAAACAACTGAAGTCAATACAAGTTCAGAGTAAATCAAACCTGTAGTTTATTGTATTGACAGAGTAATATATTGTGACTATCTAGGTAAAGTAGTATATTTAGTGGATGGATCTACTAGAATAATAGTAATTGGACAGAATAGTAAAGTACTGACGAATGAAGAGGATAGACTGACGGATCCTAAGTGTATTTGTTTTAATCATAATGAATATTCAGGTTTTATTTGTGATGACAATGGCAGATACTTGGCAAACTTTAATTTATCGCAGGGATAGCATACACAGTGAGGATCTTATGATGTTACATGCTTATGGTGTGCACTTTGAATGTGAGAGGAAATGTATCGGTGTTTTATGTATATTGTTCTCTAGATAAGTTGGAATATTTGTGCTTCGTACCGATTTATTAAATTAAGCCATTTGAATTGATTTTTACATTTTGTTTTTATGTTGTGCTGTAACACCACTGTCCCTAGTCATTATCAGTTTGTTTTCCACTTTGAATATTCCTAGACATTTTTAGCCTGTGACTAGATGGGTATTACACTTCTCAGAGTTCGACCACACTTCAATAACTGCATATTGATAGTTCTTTCACCATAAACTGAATATAAATGTTACTTAGAACAACACCATGGCTAAAAAAAAAAAAAAGACCATAAAAAACTAGACTTGATCATCATGAATCCAACCAAAAAAAGGGGGGAACCTCATGTGCTTCGGAAGGGTAAGCATCTTGCTTCACATGTGGCAACCGTCGTGTTGCTCACGTAAGTACACACCCGGTGATATGTTATAGAGATACAAGAAAACTGAAGGTTCTTAACAGCCAGTGTCACTCACCTTCATCTATATGCATTTTCATCAATGGACAACATCCATTACTAGAATATAATTGTTACTTAACTCTCATTTATGTTGGTCATTTATTGCTAGTCACATTTTTGTTTACAGATTCTTTAATAATTTACTATAGTTTTCGCAAAAATGGGTAAAAATCATCTTTTAACGGCAATTACTTCTATAAGGAGTAGACAGCCAATTTTAGCTTTGCTGACCTATTGAACATCTTTTTATCATTTTTGAAAAGAGAAGCGGAAGATATCAAAAGGACATTCAAACTCATGCTAAAACGATAATGCCATGACAAAAAAAAAAACGACAAAAAGAACTGACTCACCCTATTTTTTTAAAGTTTATCCACCTTGATTCACTCTCGCATTTTTCCTACACAGTCACATTAATTTTTTTCCAGATTTATTAAGGAGAGGGACGAAAGATACCAGAGGGACAGTCAAACTCATAGATCGAATACAAACTGACAACGCCATGACCGAAAATAAAAAGACAAACAGACATATAATAGTACAGATGACACAACATAGAAAACTAAAGACTAAGCAACACGAACCCTGACTCATCCTCCATCGTTTTGTATGTTTATCTACCCTGACTCATTCCAAATATTTATCTTCTCATGTCCCACTCTCATATTTTTCATGTTGGTCTACATTGACTAACCCTCACTTGTTTTCAAGGTAATATGCCGCTACCCATTTTCAGTGTTTTCCATGGTTTTTTTTACCCTGAACTATTTATATATTTCCATGTTATTCTACCCTAACCCATTCTCAGTTTTTACTATGTTATCTTTTTACCCTGAACCATTAATATATTTTCATTTTGATCTACCCTAGCCCATTCTCAGTTTTTACTAGGTTTTCTTTTTACCCTGAACCACTCATATTTTTCCATGTTTATCTACACTGACCCTCCCCATATTTTTCCAGGTTTATTTACCCAAATTTAAATGTTTCTAGATTACCTTTTTCTTCAGCCTTTTTTCAAAGTTAACTGCTAAAAAATTCTTCACATTGTTATACTTCCTGCTCTCGCCTTTTGCTTTTTTTTTAAAGTTAGTTCCTTTTTTTGTCATTTTAATTCCCCACTGTCATTTTTCTCTGTTAATACTTTTTTGTATTTTCTTGGCTTATATCATCTTGCTGAGTTCCTTCACTATTTCTAATCGCAGCATTTCCTCGTGAGAAGCCTAATTTCCTAATGACAACCAAGTTTAAAACTTTCTAAGAGAGAGACAAATCCATAGATATCACAATAAACAGATTATTAATGTTTTGCATCAAGAAATTTGTATTATATCAGCCGCTTGAAACAATGTAAATCTTTTTCGTCAGAGATGTAACATTGTATTGGCTTATATCTGGAACGATTTTAATGCAGAAAAACTGATCATCTTCACTTATCTTTCTGCTATCTGATGTTCATCTATACCGCTCTCATCTCTTTTTCCATGTTTATTCACACCGTTCTCATATCTTCTTCCATGTTCATCTACACCGCTTTCAATTATTTTTCCATGTTCATCTACACCTCTCACCTCTTTTTCCATGTTTATCTACACCTCTCTCACTTTTTTCAATCTTCATCTACACCTCTCTGACCTTTTTTCCATGTTCATCTACACCGCTCTCACCTCCTTTTTCATGTTCATCTACACCTCTCTGACCTTTTTTCCATGTTCATCTACACCTCTCTCACTTTTTTCAATGTTCATCTACACCTCTCTCACTTTTTTCAATGTTCATCTACACCTCTCTCACTTTTTTCAATGTTCATCTACACCTCTCTCACTTTTTTCAATGTTCATCTACACCTCTCTCATTTTTTCCATGTTTATCTACACCTCTCTCACTTTTTTCAATGTTCATCTACACCTCTCTCACTTTTTTCAATGTTCATCTACACCTCTCTGACCTTTTTTCCATGTTCATCTACACCTCTCTCACCTTTTTTCAATGTTCATCTACACCTCTCTCATATTTTCCATGTTCATCTACACCTCTCTCACTTTTTCCATGTTCATCTACACCTCTCTGACCTTTTTTCATGTTCATTCACACTGTTCTCACCTCTTTTTCCACGTTCATCTTCACCGATCTCACCTTTTTTTGCAATGTTCATAAACACCGCTCTCACCTTATTCCATATTTACCTACCCCGCTCTGACTTTTTTTACCATGTTCATCTACTCAGTTCTCACATTTTTTCCATGGTCATCTTCACCACTCTCACCTTGTATGTGTCTCAACAAACTTGCAACATGTATACAATATATCAAGTACATGTTTGCCAAGACTATAAAAAGTATGATTTAAATCAACACAAACTATCAAAACGAGGTCACTGTATTCTTCAAGCAGCCACTAATGAGGTTCCCGACTTGAGACAGGCACATGAACCTTTTTTGATGCAAACTACTGTGAAAGTACTTTTATTCATGGGATACCAATTTTCGTGGATGGCTTTATCCACGAATTAAAGTGTCCAACATAATGAAACAACTGTTTTTACCTGTTTAATCTTTAAAACCGTACTTTAAACCATTTAATTCTCATAAAAAAATATTTTTGATGATTGAAAGTCAGATTTCTGGTGGTGATATGCTATATAAATGAAGTGTTCATTTATCTGCTCATAATAGTCATATGGAAAAAAAATAAATTTCATATTGGGCTTGCTTGCCATAAGAATTAACTCTACAATTCAAAGTAAAAAAATAGTATTCGTTTATGTAATAGTTTTCTTGAAGTGACTTGTTTATGACCCAATTAACACCTTTGATGATTGTTAATCTGTTGATTATTCGATCTCTGTTTAGTTAGTGTCATTTCTTCTGATGATCTTCTGATTACTTGTGTGCAACAATTGAAATGTTTACTTTGGAATTTTCCTCAATCAAGATAATTTGTAAGCATGGATGAATCAGCTTATTTCCGAAAGCAATTATTTTAGCTTTCTTGTTGAATGTTGTCAGTTATGAAAGACGAACAAGTAAGTGAAAATGAACACCTTATTTTGCAACGTAAATAAATCATTATAAAACAACATATGATTATTCTAAAGAATCTTCGTTTTTTTATGGCTTCAAATTCTTCACACAAGTTTTTTCTTCAGAAAATAAAATCCTAGAATGAAAGTACACACGAACATGCAACATTTGCACAAACCATGAAAATTGATACCCATGAATTAAAGTACTTTCACAGTACATCTTTTTCAGGTTCATTAGTAAAATGAAAACAAAAGGTATGAAATTAATATTTATTTTTATTTTCAACACAAGATATTTCCCTAAAATAATCACTAATTTGGCACACACATTTGATAATGTTTACAGAACTATCTGTTCTCTGTGGAAAAAAGGTTTATTACTTAAAAATATTAAATTTCTTGCTGGTTATTGACTAATTTGTTTTTAGAATATAATTTTTTGTCAAATTTATTTTTATCTCATATTTAGTCATGTTCCTAAAAAATAACTTCTCAAATGTGAACAAAACAAGACCAATACCAGGTTTGGACTGGTATTGCTGCATGTAATTGATTGAGGTGACATGTTTATTTACTGAAACATGGCTGATGAAGATGATTTATGAAACTATGAAATTTTCTTTGTAATTATTTGCTTCCACAGAAGCTAAGTAAAGATTGACAAACATTTTCTATTTAAAACATGACTATTGTAAAATTTCAAATTATTGGTCAACAGGAAGTAGCAGATCCGTAAATAACTTACACGCTAAACTCAACAATCTAGCTGCAAACCTAATAGAGATTATTTCTGTTCATAGATACAAAAAAAAAAACACTTTGCAAAATCATCAAGACAGACAGAATGACCAAAAGTGGTTTCCACTTCTCCTTTTAATGTTACCAACATAGATTAAAATTAAGTTCGCTATTAATCAATAAACTTTAATTAAACCAATTCCATATTCTGTTTCCTGCCTTGTCTCCTCTGTTACAAAATCTATAACACTCAAGGTGCTACTATCAGGATATAGAGTAATATGTTATTTTGATAAATGATTGTTAACTCATTCTAATTTGGTAAAAAAAGGATGATTGGAAGGACCTACAGATTCTATCAAATAAAAAAAGTTTTATCTCTCTACACATGTCCATTCTACATTGTATGAATTGTATACATCTGACCTAGGCCTTATGATTTCACAAAATTTCATTCCAATCTGGGTTTGACTCATTTCGATATTGCGATTCTTTTTACATCATTCATGTATTTTTATCAAGAAAGAAATTCTTTTTCAGTAAAATTCAAACTAGAGGCTCTAAAGAGCCTGTGTCGCTCACCTTGGTCTATGTGCATATTAAACAATGGACACAGATGGATTCATGACAAAATTGTGTTTTGGTGATGGTGATGTGTTTGTAGATCTTACTTTACTGAACATTCTTGCTCCTTACTATTATCTCTATCTATAATGAACTTGGCCCAGTAGTTACAGTGGAAAATATTTTGTAAAAATTTACAAAAATTTACAAAATTTATGAAAATTGTAAATAAAAATTGACTATAAAGGGCAATAACTCCTTAAGGGGTAAATTGACAATTTTGGTCATGTTGACTTATTTGTAGATCTAACTTTGCTGTACATTATTGCTGTTTACAGTTTATCTCTATCTATAATAATATTCAAGATAATAACCAAAAGCTGCAAAATTTTCTTAAAATTACCAATTCAGGGGCCGCAACCCAACAACATGTTGCCTGATTGGTCTGAAAATTTAAGGGCAGATAGATCTTGACCCAATGAACAATTGTATACCATCAGATTTGCTCTAAATGCTTTGGTTTCAGAGATATGAGCCAAAAACTGCATTTTACCCTATGTATTATTTTTTTGCCATGTCGGCCATCTTGGTTTGCGACCAGGGTCATCGGACACATTTTTTAAACTAGATACCCTAATGATGATTGTGGACAATTTTGGTTAAATTTGTCTCAGTAGTTTCAGAGGAGAAGATTTTTGTAAAAGATTACAAAAATTTACGAAAAATGGTTAAAAATTGACTATAAAGGGCAATAACTCCTTAAGGGGTCAACTGACCATTTTGGTCAAGTTGACTTATTTGTAGATCATACTTTGCTGAACATTATTGCTGTTTACAGTTTATCTCTATCTATAATAATATTCAAGATAATAACCAAAAACGGCAAAATTTCCTTAAAATTACCAATTCAGGGGCAGCAACCCAACAACGGGTTGTCCAATTCATCTGAAAATTTCAGGGCAGATAGATCTTGACCTGATAAACAATTTTACCCCACGTCAGATTTGCTCTTAATGCTTTGGTTTCAGAGATATAAGCCAAAATCTACATTTTACCCCTATGTTCTATTTTTAGCCATGGCGTTCATCTTGGTTGGTTGGCGGGGTCATCGGACACATTTTTTAAACTAGATACCCCAATGATGATTTTGGCCAAGTTTGGTCAAATTTGGCCCAGTAGTTTCAGAGGAGAAGATTTTTGTAAAAGTTTACGGACGACGGACGACGGACGCAAAGTGATGAGAAAAGCTCACTTGACCTTTCAGGTCAGGTGAGCTAAAAAAGGAACCAGAATTTCTTAAGAAACTTAAAATTAACAATGAAAAATTCTATCCAAACATAAATTTATACAAGCATGTGTGACAACAAAACATGTTTCGTTAAATTTGTAATCCATTTAAAAGACTGATAAACTGATTACTGCATTGTCTATAAGCAAATAATACAGATTATGTTTCCTACAACGGAAATTGCTATTTCAAACAATATTCTGCTAATTTTGATAAAATATGTTGTATAAATCTACTAAAAAAGATTTCCAATGAAAAATGTGTTCAAAAGTGTGATATATATTAATTTATAACATACAACCTGTTTTTAAACCTTTAACACTCTTTCGTAAAATAAAATACAACAAACGTGATTTGTGTAAAACTATAAGCACTAAATAGCTTTCATATTTGTTTAGCACTAAATCATTTCAATTTGCTCTCTGACTTGTAAATTCCGATTTCAAATCAGACAAAATACAGTTATATGACCACTACAGATAATATGGTAAACATGCAGATTCTCAACTAGAAAATGATTTATCACCATCTCATCAAACTTCAGGATTCTCTCATATAAAATATCTCAAACAGTATTATACTACAGTAACCTGTGATCAAAACAAATCTAAAATAGTCCCTGTTGGTACTTTACCCTTGGATTTTTAACAAAAGTTCCAAAATTTATTGCTCATTTAGAACAAAACCAACTAATTCACACCAAACTGTTGATTTCTGATATTATAAAACATTCAGATATTAAACAGATTGAAATCATATTTAACATTAACTTTTTTTTATCTTTCTCAGTTTTTATATTTCATTTTGATGAAGTGATACCAGATCTGTTGTTTATTTCATCATCACATTTAACCATAGCTGTACATAATATGATAAACAATAAAAAATAGAGCACCTTTGGAAATAAAACTACTGCATATCCCATCCTTACCTCAACATTGCCTTATAAGAAAAGCTGATATGACATTTGCACTTTTGCATGACACAAGCAACTTTTGATAAAATTGAAAACTATAAAATGTCACACAAGTCAAACATTTTTACAAGATTTTCACCGATATTATGACTCTAAAAATGTTTATCCAAGAAACAGCAACAATCCTGTTTGTCTCCAATCCCTCGTCCAACTCTTTCCTTTATAACAATCAATCATTGATTTGATCATAAATGATAAGGTGCTATGCATAACTGGTCCTGAGAATTTTGTACTATTGAAAATTCGATATTACACAACTTGAGCATGAGGGTGTCCAGGAGGCACTATTCTGGGTTTTTTACTTGGAGGTTCATCTGGAGCACCAATCAATTTCTCATCATATCCTAAATAACAGAAGAAAAAAAAACAGGTTAAATTATATGTTACAGATTAATACATTGTATATTATAAGATTGGTTACAATGAAAAACTAATTTCTTATGTGAAATATCTTATATCTGGTTATTTTCACGTTTAAGACCTTAAATCGCGCAGTGAATCTTCACTAATTATTCATGAAATAGCTAATATTGCTAAAAGCGGTGTTTAAGGCAAATCAATCAATCAATCAGAATACTCAACATATTAATGGGACTCCAAAGAAAAATATGTCACAGAATTAAAGGAAATGTTAGAATACTTCACATGTATTTATCAATTCAATGTACTTACATAGAAATGTGTCTGCCGAAAATTTGAATACTCTTCCGACAATAATTTCCATTGAAGTAAATTGAAAGTCTTCGGAATATCTAAGTTAAGTGGATTTAGCATAAAATCTCATCTTAAGTAACAACCTACCCATAGTTTTCCTAACTTCTTCAGCTTCTTTTCTTATTTCTGCTACAGCTCTTTCATCATCTTGCTGTAAAAGAGACAGTGTTAAATTATCCACTAGAAAAGGAACTGGTAGCAAAGCTCCAAAATTATACCTATCCCCACTTGCAAAGTTCAAAGGGAAAATAATTACCATCAAAAACCAAAATAAGAGATGCACAATGTCAATATACGGTGGAGATTGTAAGAACCTTTCATTGCAGGGTTAAAGGTGAAGAAACATACACAAATGCATACTACAGTGTGCTAATACCACAAAGTCCATAACATGCAAATTTAAACCCAAATATCTTTTGAATGAAGGAATGAAATAAGAGGTAAATAAGTACATCATGTGATTAAAATTTCACAAAACGATGTCATGCTGTTCAGGAACAATAGCGGATAAAAGAGTGGGTAATAAAGGAACATGATTCCCTCCTTCTTTCTTGGATTAAAGGAATTATCCCAGGAGGAACATGCTGTACATTGACTTACAAAAGGGTTTGACCCTAGGGAACAAGCTATACATTGACTTACTTCTTGATTAGACCACAGGCCTAGGAACATGCTGTACACTGACTTATCTCAGGGTTTAACCACAGAGAGCCTGCTGTGCATTTACTTGTGCCAGTGTTAGATCACAGAGAGCATGCTGTACATTGACCTACCTCAGGATTTGACCACAGAGAACATGCTGTACATTGACTTACCTCATGGTTTGACAACAGAGAGCCCTCTGTACATTGACTGACCTCAGGGTTTGACCACAGAGAACATGCTGTACATTGACTTACCTCAGGATTTGACCACAGATAATATGCTGTACATTGATTTACCTCAGGGTTTCACCACACAGAACATGCTGACATTGACTTACCTCAGGACTTGACCACAGAGAACAGGCTGTACATTGAACCTACCTCAGGGTTTGACCACAGAGAACAGGCTGTACATTGACCTACTTCAGGATTTGACAACAGAGAGCATGCTGTACATTGACTTACCTCAGGGTTTGACCACAGAGAACATGCTGTACATTGACTTACCTCAGGATTTGACCACAGATAATATGCTGTACATTGACTTACCTCAGGGTTTGACCACAGAGAACATGCTGAACATTGACTTACCTCAGGATTTGACCACAGAGAACATGCTGTACATTGACCTACCTCAGGGTTTGACCACAGAGAACAGCCTATACATTGAACCTACCTCAGGGTTTGACCACAGAGAACATGCTGTACATTGAACCTACCTCGACAACATGCTATACATTGACTTACCTCAGGGTTTGACCAGAGAGAACATGCTGTACATTGACTTACCTCAGGATTTGATCAGAGAGAACATGCTGGAAATTGACTCACCTCATGGTTTGACCAGAGAGAACATGCTATACATTGAACCTACCTCAGGGTTTGACCACAGAGAACACCCAGTACATTGACTCACATCATGGTTTGACCACAGAGAACATGCAGTACATTGACTTACCTCATGGTTTGACCACAGGGAACATGCTGTACATTGACCCTACCTCAGGGTTTGACCACAGAGAACATGCTGTACATTGACTTACCTCATGGTTTGACCACAGAGAACATGCTGTACATTGACTTACCTCATGGTTTGACCACAGAGAACATGCTGTACATTGAACCTACCTCAGGGTTTGACCACAGAGAACATGCTGTACATTCAGTACAATGTTTGCCTTTGTTTGGATCTCTAAAGTGCCGACAGAAATGATCATAATCAATCTGAAAGAAAATATCCACGAGTCTATTAATACGGTGCACAATTCCTAATGTTTGTTTCGACAACGTATTCTATTTAACTGTACTTAGTAACTGTTCCTATGCTGTCATAACGTACATATAAAGATTTATTAAAACATGATGCCATAGTTAATTACAGGGTTGTAATCAATTATCTTTTACATCAGATCGTAAATCTTAAGGTGACATTAGGACAGGTGCTGAAGCCAGAATGTTTACTCAAATTTCAATGAAATAGATTAACAAGGAGAAATTACTTTATGAGTGGGGTCTCTTGAATTTTCTATTCAACTTTTAAAAGAGATATTGCTTAAGTAGTTGGAAATTTAATGTCTTATAATTGATAAAATCAGAACATTTACATAAAGATGTGAATATTTTTAACGATTGCCCACCCAACCTATCCCCTGAAGAAACAATGTTTCCTCTCTTGTAAACCTGGTAATAAACCCCTTTAGAATCGAGGTATTTTTTCCTCTCTTAGACCTCTAGATCTGATATTTTTAAGCAATTTTCCAAGGGCAAAAACATCCACAATATTGCTCCACCAGAATAAAACTCCTGTAACTTCTTAAAAGAGGGACGAAAGATACCAGAGGGACACTCAAACTCATAGATCGAAAACAAACTGACAACACCATGGCCAAAAATAAAAAGACAAACAGACAAATAAATGTACAGATGACACAACATAGAAAACTAAAGACTAAGCAACACGAACCCCACCAAAAACTGGGGGTGATCTCAGGTGCTCCGGAAGGGTAAGCAGATCCTGCTCCACATGTGGCACCCGTCGTGTTGTTTATGTTATTACAAATACGGTTCTAAAGATAGGACTTAACAATACAATATAACACATTTTTTGTGGTACTGTAAACTTACGTTAGGTTTCCTACAAATATAACACATTTTGTGTGGTACTGTAAACTTACGTTAGGTTTCCTACAAATATAGCACATTTTGTGTGGTACTGTAAACTTACGTTCGGTTTCCTACAAATATAACACATTTTTGCTCCACATCGACAGGTCATTTTATTGCAGCCATCTGATTTAGTGAACTTTGCTTTACATTTATGACATGTTCTTATCTTGGCTTCAGTCATCTTCTCTTCACTACAAAACAGAGAAGAATTTTTTTTTATAAAATAAGAAAAGCCTTACCTAAATGCTTTTTAAACATTTATGAAATCTTTGGTGTAAAAAAGTTTACAGACTAATCTAAATATTTAAAAAAAATAATAATAGGCTATATTGCATGTATTGAATACAAACAAAACAGAGTGAATGTGAAAATAAATTTCACAAAAAATGTTATTAAATAAATTGTAATGCTGTAAAAAATTAGGTTAAAATCATAATAAATAGTATTAGATACCCCAATAATGATTGAGACCAAGTTTGGTTTAATTTGACCCAGTAGTTAAATTAAAAGCAGGTCATCCCATTGTAGTCCTACAATAGTTACTGAAGACCCTTTATCATTATTTAAATTAGTTTTCTAGTTGTGACCATTTGGAATTGTTTTTTTACAATTTTCTAATAGACTTCTACAGTAAACCCTTATGTTCTATTTTTAGCCATGGTGGCCATCTTGGTTGATTAGCGGGGTCATCGGATACATTTTTTAAACTAAATACCCTAAGGATGATTTAGGCCAAGTTTGGTTTAATTTGGCCCAGTAGTTTCAGAGGAGAAGATTTTTGTAAAAGATTACAAAAATTTACGAAAAATTGTGAAAAATTTACTTTAAAGGGCAATAACTCCTAATGGGGTCAATTAACAATTTTGGTCATGTTGACTTATTTGTAGATCTTACTTTGCTGAACAATTTTGCTGAATACAGTTTATCTCTATCTTTTATAATATTCAAGATAATAACCAAAAACTGCAAAATTTTCTTTAAATTACCAATTATGGGGCAGCAACCCAACAACGGGTTGTCTGATGTGTCTGAAAATTTTAGGGCAGATAGATCTTGACCTGAGAAACATTTTCATCCCATCAGATTTGCTCTAAATGCTTTAGTATCGGAGATATAACCCAAAAAATGAATTTTACCCCCATGTTCTATTTTTAGCCATGACGACCATCTTGATTGATGGGCAGGGTCATCAGATACATTTTTTAAACTAGATACTCAAAGAACGATTTAGGCCAAGTTTTGTTTTCTTTGGCCCAGTAGTTTCAGAGGAGAAGATTTTTGTAAAAATAAACGAACGACGACGACAGACTCCAAGTGATGAGAAAAGCTCACTTGGCCCTTTTGGGCCATGTGAGCTAAAAATGTGTTAGAATAAAATCTTTTAAATGAGTTGTGCAAACAGAACACCATGTTGTATATGCAAAATTTCATAAAAATTGACAAATGTCAACAACTGGTGCATATGTGAATAAAATGCTTCGCTGAGCGAACCCTGAACAGTTGGGGCAAGTTTGGACACAATATTCATGCTTGATACTGTCTTAATTTGGATTGTGATCAAATATTTGACATAATATAGGTTTCTGGCACAAAATAAATGTGGTCAAAGATCTTAAAAATTTGAAATGGGACATTTAATTTACCTAGTATGATCTGACATCCAAAATATAACAACATGATTAGATTCAGAATATATAAAAAAAACACAAAAAATTTAATTTTAGTTGAAATCAAACAAAATTTAATTTTGGACCCTTCAAACCTTAATATGGACTAATTTGAAAATAGGGCCCAAAATAAAAAATCTAAATGCACAATAAGATTCAGCATATCATAGAGCCGCAATAATTAAGTTTTTGACTCAATGTAGACCAATTTAAACATGGGGCCCAATATCCAAAATAGGAATACAAGGTTAGATTCCCCAAAAAATAAAGACTTTAAATTAATCCCATTGAATTTAAAATTGGTTAAAAGATTTGTATTTATTTTCAATTGAAGATTTCTTGCTATTGCGCAATACTGTGCTGTTGCACAATACTTAGTTAATCTTTTATATATAAATCAGAAATAATCAATGTAAAAATGGAAAATTTTTGGGAAAAAGAAACAAAAAATTAAGAAAAAAAAAATCCCCCAAAAAATTTTTAACGCAAGTTATTGTCTGGAAACTAGAATCAAAGCGTTTTAGCGCTAGAAAAAGCATTTGCCGTATATCTTAAGAAAATTTCAAAATCTTGATCGTTTCTTTTAAACTGTTTCCATACAAAATACCAGGCATCGTAAACCAGTGTGATAATGATACATCTTAATACCACAAATTACAATGTGGAAATACACACAACTTGTTGCAGATCCACAAACACAGTAAGGTTTACCAATACGACACTCCGATTAAATAAACAAAAGTATTTTGATATTTAAACAAGCAACAGAGCCCTATTTATTCTTTTAAAACAGCAAAATTTAATTTGTAAAAAATAAAATTAACCATGTTGGGTACGCTTTAAACTGGTAACAAGACGGGTTGAGATTAGCCGATAGAGGGTGCTGAATTTCACTGTATCACTGCGTTCGAAAATGAAGCCTCTTATGTAACCTATCGGGAATCAAAATTTCTAAGTAAAAGGGTTAGCTATTAAAATACCATTTAAATATTGCATTTGAGGAATGCTTAATCAAATTAACTTAATTTTCATTACAAAAATCAAGCAAACACATACTTTTAAGTTTTACTCGATCTTGAAATAACTGTAGAATGAAAAACGTGTGCACTTTATTTTGATGATAAACAAAATGGCCATACACAATGACAGTAAAAGCAAATGCTTTTAAAAATGCTCGTTTTTGGCCCCTTTTTTGCCCCTAATTTCTTAACGTTTAAGGGCAATTACCCCTAAACTCAATCCCAGCCTTCCCTTTGTGGTATGGAACCTTGTAGTAAAATTTCAGAGAGATTCATACACTTAAACACAAGTTTTTGTCTGGAAACTACAAAAATGCTTGTTTTTTGGCCCCTTTTTTGTCCCTAATTCCTGACCGTTTGGGGCAATTACCCTAAAACTCAATCCCAGCCTTCCCTTTGTGATATGGAACCTTGTGGTACAATTTCAGAGAGATCCATACACTTACACACAAGTTATTGTCTGGAAACCAGGGCTTCCAAAATTATTTTAGCCAGCCAGACATTTTATATATTATCCTGATTTTAATCCCTTAAGACTAAATAAACAAAAGGCAATTATGGTAATCAGTTGCCGAGTTGGCCATCCCAATGATTGACATTTAAAAAAAAACACGATATTAAACTTTCTTTGATTCAAATTCGAAGTTCTGACGTAAACTGTTAAATTGGCAGTGCATCATTCGAAGTGTGCAACATCAGCGTACTTATATCTGCCTTAGACTCTTTATTTGTGCAAAATAACGTTGTCAAAAACTTTACTTTCGTTTTTAAATCTAATACTGGATGTTATCTTGACAATGGTAAAACATGGACCAGAGATGGATACGTAAATTCCGTGTACGCTTGCAAAGCATGATTGAGTCTAAGTAGCTCATTCTACGTTATTTCTTCAAGAAAATATTCGAAATAAACGTGAGATAAAGGTATCAATGACAATTTAAGCTTTTTTTTAAAGAAATTAGGATGCATAATTAAATTTCACACCTGCGCACACATGTACTAGTTTAAACAGAGAAACAACGTGGTTATGACGATTTTTCATTTTCACCTTTTTAATTTGTTCATCAAATCTTATTTGTAAATGTATTTCTGATAATTTAAATCTTTTTGACTAAATTAGTAATTAGATGCAAACCGGTGAAATGTAAGAAAATAACTTTGAATAGACCGATCGATGTCCGGTTCAAAATAGTTTACCTGTCACCTGAACAGGTAAATTTCAGCTGTTCGACAACTAATTAGCCTTGATTAAAATGAGAAGGTATTAAAGTAGGGGTTGTTTTGATAGTACTTAATGATCATGTCACTTTTATGACCGGAAATGTGTGGCTGTTAAAGGCAAAAGGTTGGGTCCAAAAGATTGTGAATTATGTTAAAATGACCGTCTCTTAAGAAAGCCTTGTAAACTAAAAAGTAGATGACCGTTTCGTGCTTTGCCCAGCCGGACTTTTACCGGACATTATACAAATGTCCGGAATATATGACTGTTTTTGAAGCCTTGCAGGAAACTACAAAAATGCTTATTTTTGGCCCCTAATTCATGAACTGTTGGTTTAACCCCCAAAATCAATCCCAACCTTTCTTTTGTGGTATTGAACCTTCTGGTAAAATTTCATAGAGATCCATTCACTTATACTAAAGTTATAGTTTAGAAACCAAATGTGTCTTCGGACGACGACGCCGACATGATAGCATTATACAAACGCAAATTTTTTGCGGTCGTATAAAAATAACTTAAAGCTTACAACTGCAGTCTGAGCTTAACTTCATCTTTCTTCTCAATTTCCTCACATCTTTTACCAAAATGTTCTGTCCAATCCTCTTTACAATAACGACAGGTTTCCTATAACAGATATAATCAAAATTAATATCTAGTTGAAATAAATATTATAACAGATATAATCAAAATTAATATCTAGTTGAAATAAATATTATAACAGATATAATCAAAATTAATATCTAGTTGAAATAAATATTATAACAGATATAATCAAAATTAATATCTAGTTGAAATAAATATTATAACAGATATAATCAAAATTAATATTAGTTGAAATAAATATTATAACAGATATAATCAAAATTAATATCTAGTTGAAATAAATATTATAACAGATATAATCAAAATTAATATCTAGTTGAAATAAATATTATAACAGATATAATCAAAATTAATATCTAGTTGAAATAAATATTATAACAGATATAATCAAAATTAATGTCTAGTTGAAATAAATATAAATGTAGAGAAACTCCAACAAATTTGCAAAATAATACCCCTTGCACAGATAAATCCCCAAAAATACTCAGAAGAATGAATGTTATATATATTAAAATTTGTAATTCACAAAGACTACATTTTACAACAAATAATAACATTTCGTTTAAATTATTTGTGAATCCGTGATTACATACAACATATACATGATACAACCATACGAATGCAATAAGTCAGCAAACATTTAGAAAGTGCAGTATTGGAAAATTTACAGCATTTCCGTTCTATAAAATGAACAAATCTAATAAATATAAAAGACTAGCAAAGGAAGCACATTTTATAAAGATCTTTAAGCAAAAAAGAAATGGATCTACGCAAACACGTTAGATTTACCTCCCCTTACATTATTATAACGTAATAATGAACATTACCAACGGTAGTGTCGTCAAGGACATTGTAAAATCATGGCAGCCTGAAAATTGCCAGAGGGCATGAAAGTGCTAGTGACATTATTTCAATGAACTGTTATTATATGACTTTAAATGTAATCTTTGCGAATTACAAATTTTAATATATATACATTCTGTACACAGTATTTAATTAATTTTGCTTTATATATAGTACAGAGTACGAAAATTCCACACATTTCTGTCAAGCTACTTTGAAATACACATTTCTACAGAGAAAGGTGAGAAAAACTAAAAGACAGTCAGACTACCCAATCCCTAAATATCTACTGCTTTTGAAAGAGTAACGCCTAGATATACACATTGCCAAGTTCATGATTTGTTAAAAGAAACCTAAAAAATTTGGACCAAAAACCAATACAGGCAGTGCAAAATGGCATTTAAGGATAAAGATACAGAAAAAGTGTCATCAAATTATGACAGAATTTGTTATATCAGTTCAGGAGCAGTTGCAAAATATACAACAGATGAACAAAAAAATGAAAGAACGGACAGACGAAGGATACGCCATTCATTTGCATTAGAACATTTGGGTATAATGATATCAACAATATGTTAAAAAAGAGAATTAAGAGAGATTTACATGTAATTAGGGTCATACAAAATGAATCTTTATATGTCTCCTAGATTTCCTCCTGTATGTCAAAGTTACAAAGGACAACCACTCCAAATACTATTGCTCAGTATCTTTTATATTTTACTTTTTGTCTATTCTTATATATACAGAATCAGAAATGAAAATGGAAATATTTGGTAAAATAAAAGAAGAATATGCCCATGGGACACAGATGCACCCGCTTGTATAACTGCAAGAGTCATAACTCAGGAATGGTGAAAGTGACGTAGCCCAAATTTTCAAACTTGATCTGTGTTTTGTGGGTATAAGCATTGAGTGTAAGTTTGATATCATATGGTTGAGGCAAAGGAGTGTAGAAACTGCAAATTCAGCAATTTTGCTATTTATACAGGGACATAACTAGAGAACAGTAAAACTAAATCTGTGTTTATGGTAATTTGCATAGTGCACAAGTTTCACAACATTTTGTTCAGGCAAATTGAAGTGAGAGTGAAACAGCAAATTCAGCAATGTTTTTATTTGTAAAGGGAAACAACTCTCAAGAACTGTAAAAGTGACGCCACCCTAATTTGAATTTGATCTGATCATAACATTTGGTAGAGGCAAACTAAAGTTAGAGAATGAAAACCAAGTTTGGGATATACGTACCGACAAGGGTAAACCTTTATGCCCCCTTTGATTAGCGACAAGGGCATAAAAAGTCTATAAAAGCTTATGATTAAAATTTTCTGAATATCTCCAACCTCTATCTAAACTGTCCTTCAACAAGATCTTGTTAATACTAAATTGATGTCCAATTTTTGACTATTTATGAAATTGTGCACAGACTTTGAACTATGACAGGTCATAACATAAACTTAACTTTAAATTTTACTAGCCACTGGACATTAAGCAACCAACAATCAATCAATTAAATTAAACTGAACAAAACATGACTGTTAGATTTCCTACACGTAAAATTACTTTGCATAAAAAATGGCTGACAAAATGAACTTAAATCATCAATTTTAGAGATGATAAGTGACATCAACATGGAGTTGTGATGATATAAACAGACACCAAACAAGAGAATTGAAATTATAAACTTAAAGAAAAATATTCATTTATCAACTTTATTTTACTTTTCCAACATATGGCCTTAAGATAGGCAAAGAGGAAGGATTGTGTACAAGTAAAACTGGTATAACACCTGTACAAGTAAAACTGGTATAACACCTGTACAAGTAAAACTGGTATAACACCTGTACAAGTAAAACTGGTATAACACCTGTACAAGTAAAACTGGTATAACACCTGTACAAGTAAAACTGGTATAACACCTGTACAAGTAAAACTGGTATAACACCTGTACAAGTAAAACTGGTATAACACCTGTACAAGTAAAACTGGTATAACACCTGTACAAGTAAAACTGGTATAACACCTGTACAAGTAAAACTGGTATAACACCTGTACAAGTAAAACTGGTATAACACCACCACAAGTTGTACCTGTATGTTTTGAGCTCCAGAGGAGTCACGGGATACTTATTATGACAGAATTTTACTTTGAACGTGCACACATAGAGATGAAGATTTTTCTACAGGTTTCACATAAACATGATAAACTTAACATTATCAATGATCCATAAAATGAGGTCAAGGTCAGATGAATCCTAACCAACCTTAACTCAATTTATATCAGCAATATAGTTTACCTATCAAATAAAGTAATCAGAGTTAATATCAAAGAGCTGAAAGCTCTGAGGAAAAATGACGCCACTGTCTCTAATATTGTGATATTTTTTATGCAAGTCTTGATTTTCACATACCGTAATAAGTTTAACATTGCAACATGTCTTGTAAGCATATAATTGATATTCGTATATGTGTCTGTTTTTTCAGTACAAATGAAAAGGTCAAGACTACCGGAATGATCTACAATATCCAATGACTACTGGCTGTTCTTTTGTACTAATAAAAAGGTCAAGACTATTTGAATGATCTACAATATCCAATGACTACTGGCTGTTCTTTTGTACATATAAATAAAGACTACCTGAATGATCTAAAGTATTTTAAGTAATGTGATTTTTATCTTGCAATTACATTTTTCTAAATCAAGAATATAGACTACTAGTATCCTTTTCAAACCAAATTATTATGAAGAGCCTGTTGTTATCAAGCTCTTATACCCCACATACTCATTAAATAAGTTACTAGTGACCTAGTTATTTCTGTTTCTTGAAGCAAATTATATTTCTGTATATTTAGACAATAGTATAATATTGTTTTACTAGTTTTATTTCACCTTGAAGATTAGACAAATAGGGATACTCCTCATAGCCAGAAATTAGTAGTACTTTTGCTAATTAATATTCATAATATGTAAATGAGAATTGTACCACGTGATAATAGTTTGAACTGGACTGGCTTGATATCATTAAAATCTTTAAAACACGGATATTATAAGTTGCCCGTCATAGAGTCCTTGTTTATAATCACTCTGATACTTCCGTAAAGTTGTCAGGCGGTCAAAATCAAAACAATGAACGCGAATTTAGTGAATTTTTCGTGTTTTCGTGAGTTTATTCTTCTTGAAATAGAGGCATTTTAACTTTACGTGGGAACCTAAAGTTCAACGACTACACATACAAGGTTTGGACTTGCTTATTCTTTGGACATTCAAGTTTCAAGTTTCACCCCGGCAACCTGTATTTCTAATGACCTTGTTAGCCAATTTTCAACACAAAGTTTGCAAATTTGACGTTTCAGCCATTTTAGCCTGTATTTTATACTGCAATGTTAAAAGCCTCTCACTTCGATTTTTAAAATAGCTCAGGAACCTTGATTTTTGCAACGCCATATAGTTGTGTATATTTATTTTCTGCCCCGGCAACCTGTCTATCACTTAAATCAAAGTTAAAACAGACATTTTTTCTAAATTCCCTATCATTTCAATATAATTTCCGTGACCCGTATCCGATTTCTTTAGTATAATATTCAAATAAGCAAAGTGGCGTTGATTTCTGGATATGTTCGATTTTTTATTTCATGTCAGTCAGGTTGCTTTATATGAAACTTGAAACCACTTCTCTGCCATATTGTTATTTTATAACAACTCTGCCCTTGACCATGTTGACCCATGTAATTGATATTCATTCTTTAACCATATATCATAGTCAGTTAGTTTTTGATTTTGCACTCCCACACCACCTTTCATGTCTTTCTGGTCAAATGTCTGTCTCCATTTAAGTTAATGACACTGAACAATCATGGTATTAAACACAATTTCAATAGTGATAATGCTGTTCTCGTGGGTCACCATATATTCAACTTGGGTAGCATTCCAGTTATTGAAATTTGTGTCAGATTAGAACAATGATCTAGATCTTTAGGAATGGATCTTATAATTTAATATTGAGCCATAGTATGGGACCCCTACACAGTAACAAAAAAAAACAAGCTTGAAAGGATACAATGTCAAGCGGCAAAATCTATCACCAGAGATAACAAGTCAAAAGAGGATGGACGGGATACGTCTCTAAAATGCTTGCTGAACTGGAACTACAGCAAGATCTCCAGACAAGACGAACAAAGCGTTGAAGCCAGAAGTTAATATTTATGTAAAAAGTAGTTGAGGGGCTGATTCCCGCTATTGAACCATACTATCATTCTATAATATCATTGCGTAAGTATTTCTGTATTGGCCTTGTTCATGGTCCATGTCTTGGGTGTATTGGTCTGAGGCGATGCGGAAGGCCAATACTGCTGGCCGAGGACCAATAATAAGGCCAATACAGAAATACACGTACAAAAATGTGATAGTATCTTTATTAATTAACTACAGTGTTACAATATTTTTTTTATTTCATTTCACAAGAGATAAACATTTTTACCTTGAAGTGGAACTATCCAAATCTCAGTTTCTTTTTATAAGATGCAATATCTAATGATTCGGTGCTGTTTGAAGTATCTTCAGCCTTTTCTCATCTGATGAATTTTTCTACCCTTTCCAGTCACTATAAAGTGTTACAACTTTAATTTAGACACAACACATAAATAGTAATTGGAAATGTACTGCCATTGCATGTGTAATGCAAATATATTTAAAAAAAAAATAATGTAAGAGTTGAAATTGATACAACTATCCATAAGCCAATTGACCAAAGAACGAAGATTTGCACAATTACAGAATGCATATGCCTGGTTCGGGTTTAAAAATAAACAACTGTTTAAATACAAAACATGAGAAGCGACAGTAAACAGTAATCAAAGTACGAAAGCGCTGTAAAGGCAGTTAATTACAGGTTGTGTGTATTTTAAGTCCAGTTATATCATTATCTTGCATAGTACAGTGTACTTATCAGAGGTGGCTTTCAGTATTTAAGATTTAGAGTTCTCTAATGATATTGAATAAGTTTTATGAATGTCATATTCTGAGCACTATATGAAGGCGATTGTTCTCACTTGTTTATGAACTAGTGCATAATGTCCAGTTTGTACCTTTTTTATCTATGTTTATAGTCAAATTAGTTATCAAAGGTACCAGGATTATAATTTAATACGCCAGACGTGTGTTTCGTCTACATAAGACTCATCAGTGACGTTCAGATCAAAATAGTAACAAAGCCAAACAAGTACAAAGTTGAAGAGCATTGAGGACCCAAAATTCCAAAAAGTTGTGCCAAATACGGCTAAGGAAATCTATTCCTTGGATAAGAAAATCCTTAGTTTTTTCATTGGCAATCATAACACATCTCCTTATTTATATAATGATCTATATTCAACGACCTCAGGTACAAAAAAAATGTATGTAACTAAACTATGATGGGAAACCTTTGACTTCTTTCTTTATATAAACTTTTGATTTGGTACCATAGAACTATGTAGAGTAAATGTACATTGCAACATGTCAACTCTTTCAACTCCAAGCAAAATTATATTTCCAAGCATAAAGTAATTTATGAATGAAATAAAATGCTCCGCTGGGGCGCAGCTTGATACGACCGCAGAGGTCGAACCCTGAACAGTTGGGGCAAGTATGAACACAACATTCAAGCTTGATTCAGCACTGAATTTGGATTGTAATTAAATATTTGACACAGCATAGGTTTCTGACACAGAATGAAAGTGGTCGAAGATACTTAGAAAAATTTAATTTACCTATTCAAACCATATCATTATTATTTGCTTTTATATATAAATCAGAAATAACCAATTTAAAATGGAAAATTTTAAAGAAAAAAAAGGAAAAAGAATCCCCCCCCAAATTTTTTGAACCCCCTTATGATTCATCACCCCAAAACTCAATCCCAGCCTTCCCTTTGTGGTATGGTACCTTGCAGTACAATTTCAGAGAGATCCATACACTTGAACACATGTTATTGTCTGGAAACTAGAAAAATGCTTGTTTTTTGGCCCCTTTTTGGTCCCAAATTCCTAAGCGTTTAGGGCAATTACCCCCAAACTCAAACCCAGCTTTCCCTTTGTGATATGGAACCTTGTAGTACAATTTCATAAAGATCCATACACTTACACACAAGTTATTGCCATGAAACTAGAAAAATGCTTGTTTTTTGCCCCTTTTTGGCCCCCAATTCCTAAAATTTGGAGGCAATTACCCCCAAAATCAATCCCAGCATTCCCTTTGTGATATGGAACCATGTGATACAATGTCAGAGAGATCCATAGACTTACACACAAGTTATTGTCATGAAACTAGAAAAATGCTTGTTTTTTGCCCCTTTTTTGCCCCTAATTCCTAAAATTTTGAGGCAATTACCTCCAAAATCAATCCCAGCATTCCCTTTGTGGTATGGTACCTTGCAGTACAATTTCAGAGAGATCCATACACTTGAACACAAGTTATTGTCTGGAAACTAGAAAAATGCTTATTTTTGGCCCCTTATTCCTAAACTTTTTGGGCAATTACCCCCAAACTCAATTCCAGCTTTCCCTTTGTGATATGGAACCTTGTAGTATAATTTCATACAGATCCATACACTTACACACAAGTTATTGCCATGAAACTAGAAAAATGCTTGTCTTTTGCCCCCTTAGTCCTAAAATTTGGAGGCAATTACCCCCAAATTCAATCCCAGCATTCCCTTTGTGATATGGAACCTTGTGATACAATGTCAGAGAGATCCATAGACTTGCACACTCGTTATTGTCATGAAACTAGAAAAATGCTTGTTTTTTGCCCCTAATTCCTAAAATTTGGAGGCAATTACCCCCAAAAATCAATCCCAGCATTCCCTTTGTGATATGGAACCTTGTGAGATCCATACACTTACACACAAGTTATGTCTGGAAGTTACAAAAATGCTTATTTTTGGCCCCTAATTCCTTAACTGTTGGTACCATAACCCCCAAAATCAATCCCCACTTTCCTTTTGTGGTATTGAACCTTATTTTAAAATTTCATTGAGATCCATTCACTTAAACTAAAGTTAGAGTGCGAAAACTAATATGTCTTCGGATGACAACGCCGGACGACGACGACAACGTCATACCAATATACAACCACAAAATTTGTTTGCAGTCGTATAAAAAGGAGTTCTTAATTAAGAAATAAACTGATTCGCTGAGCGCAGCTGGATACACCCGCAGAGGTACTACCCTGAACAGCTGGGGCAAAAATGGACACAATATTCAAGCTTTATACAGGTCTGAATTTGGATTGTAATTAAATATTTGACATATTATAGTTTCTGAATAAATGTAGTCAATGAACTTGAAATCGGTTATATGAATTGAATTTATATTCAATTAAAGATTTCTTGCTGTTGTGCAATACACTGTGCTGTTGTGCAATACTTAATAAATCTGTTGCCAGACTATAAACAAATAAAGTTCAATTTCTTCTCAATGTCATATTTGAAATTTATGAAAATCAATAGGGAGATTACATCAATAGCTACAAAATGTATAAATAATTCACCAAAGTTTCATGTGAACTGCTTAAAGCATTTTTAAGTTGTTGTCCAAAAACTGGAAAATCCCCCCTTTTTTAATGAATAAAACCCCATAACTCAGAAATGTAAAATCTAAAATTTATAAAATTCTAAAGGGAGCTTACGGATTGATAATTTAGGCTTAGATGCAAGATTTTTTTATCAGTTGTTAGTGGCTTTGAACTAGCTGTCAGTAACTGCGAGTACTCTCAGATTTGTACTTAGTGTCTTTTTGTTGTTTGGATGTACAACTACCCGACCACGTCCACTTGTATTTGTATTTATCCATCTGATGAGTTTAGCCTCTTTCAACTGATTTTTATAGTTCTTTCTTATATTGTACTGTTACACCACTGTCCCAGGTTAAGGGAAGGGTTGGGATCCCGCTAACATGTTTAAGCCCGCCACATTCTGTATGTACATGTATGTGCCTGTCCCAAGTCAGGAGCCTATAAAAGTGTAATTCAGTGGTTGTCGTTTGTTTATGTGTTGCATATTTGTTATATTTGTTCATTTTTTTACATAAAATAGGCCGTTAGTTTTCTTGTTTGAATTGTTTTACATTGTCATTTCTGGGCCTTTTATACATTTAGCTGACTGTGCGGTATGGGCTTTGCTCATTGTTGAAGGCCGTACTGTGACCTATAGCTGTTAATTTCTGTGTCATTTGGTCTCTTGTGCATGTGTGGAGAGTTGTCTCATTGGCAATCATACCACATCTTCTTTTTTATATTTACATCAACAGATATAAAAAATTCACCAAAGTCAAGGTGAGACAACAAAACAGTTGTAAGATCTCTGAAATTTTTTACAGGGTACAAGTTTTTCTCATTGTTGGAGATTGTACGGTGACAGTAACACCTGTAACTGCTTAAACCCATTTCTTATGCACTTTAGTTTGATAAACTCACTGAATATCATACCACATCTCCTTATTTTTATATGCATTACAATTTACATGTGCATGTAATTGTAAATATATATATATCAGAACAAAATTCATTGCGTCACTTTTATTTATGCATCCTTTGGCACAATACAAGTTCTAAAATTACACAACATAAAACAACTAAATGTTATTTCAGATGAAAGTTTTGTTTCAGTTCCATTCATAGGATTTATTAGAATTTTGTATGTTTTGCCAAGTCCAATAATTCGCTCTATGTGACATAGAGACATAGTTGACTAAACCACCAGGTGTCGAATATTCAAGAATTTTCAGTGTTTCTGTTTTTATTTGATGAAAAGGTTGCCTGAGCTCTAGGAGCTTTAGGTTTTATCACGGGATATTCTGTGCCGTCAATAATAATCCAAGTTGTAGGAAACTTTAATTTGAAGTTGGATGGTGAAAAATACCTGACTAAACCACTAGATGGCCAAGTGTTAGCCTCACACCACTGTTTAGACATAAAAACAATCCATGTATACACAATATTCTTAACACTAGATTCAATCTAGAATCTAGACAGTTCAAAGTTGGTTGTATGATGCCTCAATTTCATCAAAGTCATAAAAAAACTGATTTTCAACTGACACCCTATCAATTTGAAAATATATGTATCTCAAACAATGTGCTGCTGGACCAAGTGTGGTCAAAACAAATAAAAATTTAGTATACAACTCTAAACCGGTATAAAAATGCATGGCTGTGTCACATGTCTTCATTTCAAAATTCTCTGCTGAAAACATAGGCATTGATGGTGTTTGCGTAATTCCATCTGTAAAGCTCAACATTAGCTCGGCAGTTGGTGGTGGACAGTCATAAATCCTTTCTGCAGTATGAATGACTTCTTCAGGAAAACCAACTTTACAATCAAAACTTTCCTCTAGATTTCTACTACAATATTCATCAAGTTTAGTTCTTTTGTTTTCACAGGAAACTGCCCTGATTTTTCTTTTTGCGGACGATTCAGTCTCTTGCTTGGTCCAGGAAAATAGGCTGGGAATTGCAGTAGACTTAAGTCTCTGTATGGTGGGTTTGCGCCCTGAAAAAGGTTATAAAACATTAGATTTTTTATAATTAAATGAACTTCCATTAGCAATGTATACTTTGTACTACCTGGCGAAATATTAACTAGATTTATTCATTAGAATCTGGATAAAACTATGTTTGCCTGATTCAATGTATGTTATGTAAATCCAAAGGACAAACAATGAGAGACTTATGCAACAAACGTACATTGTTTATACCTAAATAACTATAATACAGATGAGAGCATGTCATTGTTTTGTTCCTGTTAACATTGTCATTGATATTTTTCAAGAAAGTCTATGAGGCATAGCTTATGCATTCCTGTCATTACTACATTAGCATAATTACTGCTAAAATAATTCTCAGTATGATATACCTCTTGTAAGAAATCATTATAATTGTAGCAATCACCAAAAAATCTCAAACAGATCACATTGAATCGTAATCCAAAAAATTATGACGTTGAATTACCCACCCCCTTTTATTCTAAAACGATAATTGCGGTTGTAAACAGACTTTGGTTTATTCGCATGGAGATTACAAATATAACTATATATTTCACAAAGAAAATAGAGTTTTACCATGAATAGTTTCCTGCACGTAGTCTTTTTTCAGTAAAACGTGCCTTGCAAACAACAGCTGATTGAGATGGACTCCACGATATCATCGTGTTCACGTCCAATCTGCGTATGGGCCATGGCGTTGATCCAACTTTTCCTTCTTTTTAAGTCATTTGGAAATGCATGTCCTCCTCTTAAATGACATCCAGGTACACAACAACAAGTACTTGGCATCGTTAATTAAAAATATAACTGAAATAGTTGCACAGTGCAGAAACCGGAAGAAGAGGAACAGGATCCGCTACCACGGCGCCACCTATTCAGGAACGATAATTTGCTACTTTATATAACTGCGAAAATAACGTTAGACGGGTTCACGTGCATAAACAGAAATGCGCTTTAAATTGTATAATATAATTCATGTTCAGTCGACCTTTAATTATTATATCAACGACTGAAATGATTTATAAACATCTAGATTGCAGATAACACTCGAAATTAACCCGAGCTCTTTCCACACGGAATTCAAATAATTCTAGTTTGTCAATCGGTTGACTGCTTATAATGCAAAATACTAATATATCAAAAGTTTTTAAAACTAACAAAACACAATGATCGTTTCTCTATTTCCCAATGTAAATGAAATGAAACAAAAAACATTTTATATCGCAATAAGAAGAGGAGAGAATTCAACATTTCCGGATCTACTTGGAGTCTAATGACCCCCCACGTAGATAAGTTGGATATCGCGGAAGGAAGGATTAACCCGGCAACTAGAAAGGCATTAAAGCACTGCCTTTAAAAATCGATTTGTACCATCGACATGATAAAATTATGAGGTCGTCAAGAAATGAACTTTGTGATAATTTACTCGTTCCCCAAACCTGAAATAATCCCATCGTCTACTTTCAAAATGCTTTTTAAATGAATGGGACTGTCTGTAACCTAAAATATATGCCATACTGAACGTTTCAGCTTGTTTATGGTGAGTAAACCTGCGTCTTACAAACAACTGTTTACTTTCAGTTTGAGTTTATAGTGACTTACGATCTAAAAACTAGAGACGTTCCGAAATCCTATTTTGTAAACAAAGATTCATACGCACCGCGTGGGTATAACCGTATTACTAATTTCCGATTTTTAAAATCTCCGTAAATCTGGATAAAGACCAGTTTCTATCCAATGGATATCAAAATGATTCCGATTTTCACCTTTTTTTAATGATTGTAAAGTTGAAATGGCATGAAAGGCTGACATTATTTAGGAGAAATATTTTGTCTAGCGATTGCTGATCATTGGAGGGTAAAAAGTCCAACACCATAACAAAACGGATCTATTTATCATGTATACATACCGATTGTTTGCGATTGTAAGACATGTGCATAAAAGTGAAAGCTCAAATAAATATGAAAAATATAACAAAGGGATAGCTCCAAATATCATTTAATAACAAAAAACATATGGACAGGTCAAGATATCTTTTTTGTAAATAAAATAAAGTATGTAAACTGGTTCCCGTCCGACTACAATACTTTGTTCGAGTGTAGCGAAATACAAGCAGATTCCAGTTAGTATGTAAAATAGTAAATATGAAACCGAGTGCGGTAGGCGGAGGCAATAATCGACTTCCGTAAGTTCTGGTCAATGGTATCGGAAACATGCCGCTGATAGCGTCATTTTCCAAAAATCAATAAAGTTTAATATATCATACCAATACCCCCCCCTAAAAATTACCTAAAAAATCTGCAATAATATTTTCTATTCCACAAGTTTTCATCAATTTAGTAAACCAAATTTTTCAAAGCAATTCTGCAATGAATTTTAGTATTTAATCCTAGCTTTAATAATTTTTAGTTAAATGTTACAGCCAACTTGAACAAACCAAACAAGTTCAAAATATACACTAAAAATGGTAAAGAAACAGCTCCATCTAGCAACATCAAATGTTTTATTCTTAAAGGACTTTAGTGTCAATATTAGATCTGTATTCTCTCAGTCTCTTGTTTATTATAACTTGTCTTGACTCCCAGCTTGCATATCGGATAGATATCTGTGTATTGCAGAAGACTGTACATTGACCTCTAGATATATTTGTTGCTGGGATGCTGTCTCACTGAAATCATACCCTACATCGTCTTTCTTTTAGAATTAACATACGTTAGGCAATAAGTCTAAATGGTTTTAAAAAAGAAAGAAAAAAGATTTAGCATTTAGACATATGTAACAGAATTTCTATATCTAAAATTTAAAAGCAAAACAATTAAATCTTAAAAACTATGATTAAACAAAAATTTCTCGACCAAAGTTTTTTAAATTTAACTTTAGAGGTAAGATAATTGTATCATAATATTATTTTCACAATTGTGTCATTTAAATGTTACTAATTAACAGAAATAGGTATTATCTATTTATAGATGACCTTTAAATATTTACTGATTACATGGATCATGTATAAACATGTCCTAATTTACTTCCTTGTAACCGACATTTTAGAAAAAGTAGAGGTAGAAACCTACATACAGATAGATGATGTGACAAATTCCTAAATTAAGAGGTATATATCATTGTAAAAAACACTTTATCATTCTATTTTGACAAAGTTAAAGGCCATGTAGTAACAAAGCTTGTATTTGGTGTCATGTATTTTTTTCACTTTTTGTTTATTCTTTAAATCAAATAAGACGATATGTAGGGTAAACCTCAATAGGAGACAGCAAACCAGAAACACAAATTTTCAATTGACATCTAGAGGGCCACAACAGACATGTGTTTTCACTTCTGTGTTATCATAAAAGACATAAATATATAAAGTTTATAGGCTTAATTATAAATCTTGTTAAAGATTGAAAATAAATTCATGGGCAAAATAAACAAACATTAGACCAAAAAGTTGAACTTTGAGCAATAGCTTACATATGATACCTCTGCTACAAATATTCGTTCAGGGAGTTGAAGAGCCATGGATGTGGAGACATCACACAGTATAGCCTGCCTACATAAAGCTTGAGTTAAAATTTCAGAAAGCTTTGATTTATAGTTCTTTATAACAATGTGACAAAAATTTCAGAAAACACCATTTTGTGTATGAATATAAGTATTATGTAACAGGAAGTGGATGAGCAATTAAGAAAAGTAGAGAAGAGCATGAACATCCCTACCGTATATATGCCTAAGGGGTCAGAAAGGGGCTGATATCCACCCGTTATTAAATATAGAGCTATTTATATAATTTGTATACAAGGTTTTTATCCAATTTATGAAGTGTTTAGGTATAAAACCACTAATTCATAGCCCCATTGCTTTCTATGTTAAATTCTGCAATTTCAAGCATAAATGGCTACTTTGTCTTAAGTTCAAATAAAGTAGCAGTTATTTCATGTCAAAACTATACCTTATCCTGACTTGTGCTGAAAAATTCAACATAACTTTAAAGTTTAATTGCATATTAGAGCGTACTGGTTCCCGGAAGTTTGATAGTACAAAAACAGGTACTTCTGATCTGAACAACAGGGCAAATGTGCCCTCCTATTAAAATTGTATATACTTCTTTATTATTCAAAGGAAATTTTCAACGAGGGTTCTTAACAGTGATCCCAAGTCCCCAAGTTTTCATTTGATACCAAAACTACCCAAATATTCCACCTATTGACAAAGATACAGCTATGCGTAGGAACTATTTTGTTTAAAATATGTACTACTTCCTTGTATGTTCTTTCCGACCGGGCCTGAATTAATGGTTCTATACCTTTATAACAAGAGTGCACACGCTGAAATGTCTCGCCTTCTTTACTAACCATTGATTTTATGTTGATACTGATAGTCCTAAATATAAAGATTTACTACAAGTAACACATATACTTAACATGATCCAAGAAAATGAGGTCAAGGTCAGATAAACCAAACGAGAAATACATGTACAACTTACAATCATTCAATAAACCAAACATAGTTGACCTAATTTGCTTATAGTTTCTAAGAAACAGTCTTAACCAAGAAAACTTAATATTGACCAATGAACCATGCCAGACAGACATGTACACCTTACAATCAATGTATGCGTTAAATATAGTTGACCTATTGCTTATAGTATCTAAGAAATAAACTTAACCATGAAAACTTAACATTGACCAATGAAACATGAAAATGAGGTCAAGGTCAGATGATACCTTCCAGACAGACATATACACCTTACAATCCTTCCATACAACAAATATAGTTGATCTATTGCTTATAGTTGAAGAAAAACAGACCAAAACACAATAAAATGCTCCGCTGGGGCGCAGCTTGATACGACCGCAGAGGTCGAACCCTGAACAGTTGGGGCAAGTATGGACACAACATTCAAGCTTGATTCAGCACTGAATTTGGATTGTAATTAAATATTTGACACAGCATAGGTTTCTCACACAGAATGGAAGTGGGCTAAGAACTTAAATTTTTTTAATTTACCTATTCAAACCACATCATTATTATTTGCTTTTATATATAAATCAGAAATAACCAATTTAAAATGGAAAATTTTAAAGAAAAAAAAGGGAAAAAAAATCCCCCCCCCCCAATTTTTTGAACCCCCTTATGATTCATCACCCCCAAACTCAATCCCAGCTTTCCCTTTGTGGTAATTTGATACCTTGCAGTACAATTTCAGAGAGATCCATACACTTGAACACAAGTTATTGTCTGGAAACTAGAAAAATGCTTGTTTTTTGGCCCCAAATTCCAAAACGTTTAGGGCAATTACCCCCAAACTCAAACCCAGCTTTCCCTTTGTGATATGGAACCTTGCAGTACAATTTCATAAAGATCCATACACTTACACACAAGTTATTGTCCTGAAACTAGAAAAATGCTTGTTTTTTTGCCCTTTTATGGCCCCTAATTACTAAAATTTTGAGGGAATTACCCCCAAAATCAATCCCAGCGTACCCTTTGTAATATGGTACCTTGCAGTACAATTTCAGAGAGATCCATACATTTGAACACATGTTATTGTCTGGAAACTAGAAAAATGCTTATTTTTGGCCCCTTATTCCTTAACTTTTTGGGCAATTACCCCCAAACTCAATTCAAGCTTTCCATTTGTGATATGGAACCTTGTAGTACAATTTCATAAAGATCCATAAACTTACACACAAGTTATTGTCATGAAACTAGAAAAATGCTTGTTTTTTGCCCCTTTTTGGCCCCTAATTCCTACAATTTGGAGGCAATTACCCCCAAAATCAATCCCAGCATTCCCTTTGTGATATGAAACCTTGTGATACAATGTCAGAGAGATCCATACACTTACACACAAGTTATTGTCATGAAACTAGAACAAGAGTGCACACGCTGAAATGTCTCGCCTTCTTTACTAATCATTGATATTATGTTGATAGTCCTAAATATAAAGCTTTATTACAACTGTCACATAAACTTAACATTAACCAAGTAAACTAAACATTGACCAATTAACCATGAAAATGAGGTCAAGGTCAGATGAACCATGCTAGGCAGGCATGTACAGCTAACAATTCTTCCATACAACAAATATAGTTGACCTATTGCTTATAGTTTAAGAAAAACAGACGAAAACACAAAAACTTAACACTGAGCAATGAACCTTGAAAATGAGGTCAAGGTCAAATAAAACCTGCGTGACTGACATATAGATCATAAAATATTTCCATACACCAAATATAGTTGAACTATTGCATATAGTATTAGAAAAAAAGACCAAAACTCAAAAACTTAACTTTGACCACTGAACCATGAAAATGAGGTCAAGGTAAGATGACACCTGCCAGCTAGACATGTACACCTTACAATCATTCCATACACCAAATATAGCTGACCTATTGCATGCAGTATTAGAAAAAAAGACCAAAACTCAAAAACTTAACTTTGACCACTGAACCATGAAAATGAGGTCAAGGTCAGATGACACCTGCCAGCTAGACATGTACACCTTACAATCATTCCATACACCAAATATGGTAGACCTATTGCATACAGTATAAGAAAAACAGACCAAAACACAAAAACTTAACTATAACCACTGAACCATGAAAATGAGGTCAAGGTCAGATGACACCTGCCAGTTGGACATGTACACCTTACAGTCCTTCCATACACCGAATATACTAGACCTATTTCTTATAGTATCTGAGATATGGACTTGACCACGAAAACTTAACCTTGTTCACTGATCCATGAAATGAGGTCGAGGTCAAGTGAAAACTGTCTGACGGGCATGAGGACCTTGCAAGGTACGCACATACCAAATATAGTTATCCTATTACTTATAATAAGAGAGAATTTAACATTACAAAAAATCTGAACTTTTTTTTCAAGTAGTCACTGAACCATGAAAATGAGGTCAAGGACATTGGACATGTGACTGACTGAAACTTCGTAACATGAGGCATCCATATACAAAGTATGAAGCATCCAGGTCTTCCATCTTCTAAAATATAAAGCTTTTAAGAAGTTAGCTAACGCCGCCGCCGCCGCCGCCGGATCGCTATCCCTATGTCGAGCTTTCTGCGACAAAAGTCGCAGGCTCGACAAAAATGCTTGTTTTTTGCCCCTTTTTGGCCCCTAATTCCTAAAATTTGGAGGCAATTACCCCCAAAATCAATCCCAGCATTCCCTTTGTGATATGGAACCTTGTGGTACAATGTCAGAGAGATCCATACACTTACACACA